GAAATCAGCGAAATCAGGTCCAGCATCACGGCCGCTTTGATAAGAGAATCACGTGGACATGTCGCGTGTGCTGTAAATAAAGCACGCAGAGTGATATTTGACGCGTTATCAGCCATTGCGCACGAACCACACGCAGCGCAAGAACCTATGGTTTCGGACGACGTCAACCAACCCAATTTCTCTACCGCCAGCTGTGACCTATCCCACTCTGAAGGCCCCCTGCATCTGGAAACACCTTTTGAGCACGTAGAGGCCGGGTCCGCGCGGTAGACAGCCGGTCACGAGGTAGCCCCGGGTAGAGCCGAGGTTTCTCGGTAGAGCGCTGTAGACGGCGTCGCGCAACCGTAGAGGTGCGCTCTCTAACGCGCATTCACGGAGCCCAGTAGCTGCCCGTAGCGACTCTGTTTCACATACATCATCAGAAGCACATGCGCAGCTGATGGTGCCTGGCTGGACTTGACGAAAACTCAAGGAGTCGACGCCGCCATCACCCACTCTTTCTTCCCCTCCCCCATCATCTCCGCTTCCACTCCGAGTCATCCCTTCTTATCTACCTGTAAATCCCCCGGAGTACATGCCGCAATCTCAAGCCTGGGCTGCCTGGATACCCTCACGCAACCTTCAAGTCATCTCAAGTCTTCAATGCCCTCGAAATCTTGGCCCTCAATCTTCCCAAGCCGCTCTCAAGTCCCTAGGTTCACCTTGCAGCTGTGTTCTGATGCTCGCTCCGTTGTCAACCTTCTGTGATTAGTCGTCACCACCAGATCATTTCCGCGTGTGGTATGGCGCTTTCGCGTGTGCGTGTTTTTTTCACAACTTAAAGGGTAGCATAAATCATCAGGTGTGATTTTCTGCATGTTTTCCTCCCTCATTACTGACTACATTGGTTCTAGTTCTTATGGCGTGTCTTTCACTGGTCGTCTCATTCCGCAGCCGATGCCGGATGGGATCGTTCGACTCCCTTATATACCTTTCCCCATACACTGTTTGAGTAGCTGCTAGAATTTATGGTTTCTCCCCATCTCGCTTTCAATATTCCAATTGATTCGGAACAATATCAGCCAAGCGAACACGTTTTGCCGAGGTCTGGCATGGAAACACGTGTGCTACATAGCTCTACCGCTCTACCATATTTCGTCTATGAGCTCTATTATATAGGGGACATGGCTACACATCTACTGCTCTACTAACCTCTCTATAGCACCCTGTAGCCGTGTGTGATTCCCAGATGTGGACCCCCATGGCCACATCCTCCTAGATAAATTTACGGAGCTGCAGCGGGATTATGATAGTCTCTTATAAACAGACACTACAACAAATTTCACTCGTACCTCACGATTTTATAGCAGCGGGACACTTTCTTCTTTGCGCCGATGGGACCTCACCGCATTCAACTTGTCCTCGGTTGGTGCGAACTTCTCAAGAATTTCTCCATTCCCTGGTCCACTGGTCAGGCTTGAATCAAAACTTGACACCAGCCACAAATGCGACTCTTCGACGCTAGGCGCACCTCAGAGGATATTCGCAGGAATTCTTCCTTTGCCCAGTGAAAGTAGATCTTCGGGATATCATGTCGTATTCCATGTCGCCAAGGGGTCCTATCATTGACCCTGACTCGAACGGTGCCCTACCTCCTGGGAACTATGGCTGGTATCTGGATCGTATGGACCCCCTTGTCGCTTGTCGTGTCCGCTCTCTGAATTCGCGTCTGAAGATCTGACTGACAATGGACTCATGAATCTCAGGGGAGCGGATACCCGGGCCGCCATGGATAAATAAGAGCTTCGAGCTCATTGTAACGTTTATGGACGACGAGACTGTTGGCATTGGTACGGTCCTCATCCAAACACCCGCATCTCGTATGTAATCGCTGGCGGCAGTGTAAACTCCCTTCAGATGAATCGCAGGCTGCATAAAATTGGTCCTTCATACGGAATAACGAGCTGAGGTGAGTACGACACCTGGTCGCACATTGGTGTACATCCGCGGAGCACATTATTGCCGTGTACACAACACTGCAGAGACGCCCCTTCGAATCGGGCTCAGATGGATACTGCATTCATTTGATATCTTGTTGCGTCTTCTCCAGTTGCCTGTATCCCCTCTGTTCTGCATACATCGGTCCTCCATATGGACTGAAGAATGAAAGTGAGTACGGCACCTGGTACTTAGCAAACTGGTGTGCATCTGCGGAGCATACAGCGACCATTGAATCGTATACTGCAGAGATTCCCCGTTCGACTCGGGGTCAGGTGAATGAACCATTGCATTGAGAATTTCTTTTAGCGCTGGGGACGGGGAGCGAGAGTCCGTTGCATTGTATTTATGACTGCGGTAATTTTTGAGGATATCCCTCCTCAGTGCACGCGAGAATCACCACCTGCATAACATCGGTCCTTCATGTAGGCTGACGAACGGGAGTGAGTATAGCGCTTGGTAGCACATTGGTGTGCATCTCCAGAACATACAACGGCGGTTAACACGTACGCTCCAGAGGCTCCTCGTTCGAATCGGGGTCAGCTGGATACGCCCTTGACTATGCTATCCTTTTTCCAGAGTGTGACTCCCTTCCAATTGCCTACATTCCTCTATTCTGCATAAAATCAGTCTTTCATATTGATTGGTGAAATGAGGCGAGCGAAGCAACCAGCAGCACATTGGCGTGCATCTGCGGAACATATCTGTGACAGAGTTGACTGCGCATACAGAGGGGTCCTCGTTCGACTCGGGCTCAGGTGATTGGTCCAGTGCGGATGGCTTTTTAGGCCAGGGCGTTCAGAGAAATTGGGCGCAATCGGGGGATGCGGATCAGGGAGGAGTCCGAGGTGAGAACAAATGCATAGGAGGGTTGTAATTTTTAGCTGATGGGATTTACTTGTGTTCGTTCGTCTGTAACATCCAGAAAAGCAGTTTCAGTGCTCGACAAACAAAGATCGGAATCGAGGTTATAAAACCCCGAGAAATACGATTATTGAACCACCTGGTAGTATATTGCGCTCATTAGATGGAGTAGAATATGCTGCGGATGATCCCCGTTCGATCCTGTGAATTAGCAAGATTTGTGATTTTTTACTGGAAGAGGCGAATTCAGACCGGGCTCGCTCGGATTTCTCCAGCTTCTCTGCGCGAAGAATGTCGGACCATCTGCCTGAGCAGTATTCGGTACCCGCGATCGATTAGACTCGCGTAAAAATTCTTTCTAAACCCCATGAAAACCAACCGTAACCGTGGGAACCAACTTTGATCGGAGTTATGAGCACGTGTCGGTTGAATTCCCGACGTCATGCACGCCGCGCCACACCATGGAGCTCGCCTAGGCCTCGCCATCGTTGGTATAAGAGATCCAAGGAGCCGTCTCCCATCACGCTTCTCTTCCCCCCACGCGCGTCGCCCGCCCATCTTGGTCCCTCATGTCCGTTCCTCCCACCTCCACTTCCAACCCAGTCTCCGCCTCAACGAGCGCGCATCCGCGCCCTCCAAAGCCCCCCCCATTCACGTCGTCTCCATCGACGCCCGGAATCGAGGTCCCAGGTGGCTACCCGCAATAGCGTCGTCTTTTTGAGCAACAAATGGGACAACCGTGGCCCTCAGGCGCCTGGCCTGTTGACTGCGGCAAACAATTACCTACCAAGTGTTCCAGCGCCCATCCCGAACGCGAAAGCGCATCTCCCGCCAGCTGTGGCCTCTTATTTCCGTACGTACAGTCTTTCCCATTCATTTTTTGACACATAAATCATCGCTCGAGATATCATCCCGCATTCTATTTTCTCTCGCTGCCTTTTGTTTTGTTCCCATGAACTAATATTTCTTCTCTGCAGCCCCCGTTTCCGAAGCGAACACAGCCCGCGTCGCCAAAGCCAACTTGAACCTCAGCGTGCACGCGCCATACCCCATAAACACCGACGGGAGCGCGGCTAGCGACTTAAGCACGCGCGCCGACGCCGGATCTCACGCCCACGCAGGGCTATTTTTCAGCGCCGCCCTCGACGCCGAGTGCTCACTCGGATTCGCATGCATCGATACCGGGCGTTGATGCGGACTCTATGGGACTCCCATTATCCGACGCCTCCACGGCGTCCACCTCTGCGGCACCCTCCACGACGCCAGCCTCCGCCGCGCCCCCGCCCGACAAGCACTTCCCCACGCAGCTCATTGGCCCAGGCGTCCGGCCTCTGCCGGCTACCGAGCCCTCCCCACCGTCGCCCCCTTCGCATCTGTAATCGCCGCCGTCCGCCCGCACTTCGCCCCCTCCTCTCCCCCCGTGACTACGGCCTCCCCATCTAGCTCCAACTCTACCTCGAGCTCCAGCACGCCCTCGAGCAGCAGCGTGAGCACCCCGCCTGAATCCCCCGCCTCAGCAACCTCCGCCTCGGCAACCGCCGCCTCAGCAACCTCCGCCAAGCCCTCAGGCTCCGGCTTCGTACGCTGGGCCTCGCGTTCCCTCAGCAAGCGCTCTCCTGCGTCCAAAAATTCGAGCCCGCCCTCCGCGTTCGCGCGCGCCAGCGTCGACTCTCCCCCCTCTCCGCCTTCTGCATTCGCAGCGCCCGCGCGCGCGAGCCTCGACTCTTCCCCTTCCGCTCCACCCTCCGCGCCCACGGCCTTCAAGCTCACGCCGATGGACACGTCGACCCCACCCCCGAAGCGCCACGCGTCGCTGCTGCGCACGCTGCGCGGGGAGGCGACGGTATTCGCGGGGCGCGTGCGGCGCGATCCGGCGCGGGTGGAGAAGGGAAGAAGGATGATGGGTGGGGCGTGAGCGGTTCCGACGCCGATTATGTGCAGATTATGTATGTGTCAGGGCAGATCACGTTGCCCCGAAGATGGACTATTACTACTAAAACCTGGTGCTGGACAGCTCGATCCGCACTCGGACTCACTTGGACTTGTAAAATTACGCCGCTCGTTTGTTGGACTGTCTGTATTTTAAATGTGTACATACTAGTATCTAATGCGATTGATAATTCTCTCCGCCTCTCAAAAACTACATGACGAAGGAGCGATGCCATCGGGGGGAATCGAACCCCCGGTTCCCTCTTGCAACATTTTTCAAACAATTCTGATAGTAGGAGGGCGACCGCCATGCTCTACGACGGCCTTGCTTCATGGGGTTGGGACCTTAGCTATATGTATACATAGGAAGAGGTGAGGAATGAAGCAAAGCCACGAGAATCGCACGAACCAAAACGAAGCAGGACAGGATACTACAAAATCATGCCATCAGGAGGAATCGAACCCATGTTTCCTCTTTCCTGCCTATGGAATGAGGTCGACCGCCGTGGTCTACGAAGGCCTTGTTTCATGGTTTCGGATCTTGGTTGCATACGTATGAATGGCTAGGGAGAATAACGGGAACTAGGACGAAAAAAGGGCAGCGCCGTCAATCATTCCGTCGGGAGGAATCGAACCCCCGGTTTCCTCTTTCCTGCCTATGGAATGAGGTTGACCGCCATGGTCTACGACGGCCTTGTTTCATGGGTTCTGATCTTGGTTGCATACGTATGAATGGCTAGGGAGGATAACGGGAACTAAGACGAAAAAGGGCAGTGCCGTTAATCATTCAGTCGGGAGGAATCGAATCCCCGGTCCTTCTTACAAGGCAGCCAGGCGCAAATCGATGACGGCGACCAACATGGTCTACGATGGCTCTTGTATACCGCTGGCTCGCATGAGTACGTGTTCGTGCATCATGCACCACCCTTCCCGTCGCTGATGGATGCCTCTCGCACTCGATTCATGCTCAAATCTAACACAACACATGAAATACCACAATCCACGATAGTATTACACGTCCGTGCGCCACAAGGTCCAGTACCTCGTTAGCACCTCGTCAACGTAAATCCCCAAAATGCAATTGATAGTTGTCTGAAGCACATTCAGAATCAGCAATCAACGGGCGGAGGAGAACAGAATGGCCCAACCATGCTGATGACCGTTACCATGTGGCGACTTTAGCGGGGATGGGATCCGCCCGGCGCTCGTAGACCTTGAGGATACCGTCCGGCGCGGTGACCGCCATCTCTTCGGGCATCGTGATGATTTCACGTGCGCGGGCCATGGTGGGGACCTCCTCACCCTGGCGCGTGTAGATCTGGATGGTACGGGGTTAGAATGTGAACCTCGTTTATGCGGGAGCAGCCGACTCACGGCTCTAGCCATAGGGATTGGGGTGGCAGCAGCGTGGCCTACCAAGAGCACAGCCAGGGAGACAAAGACGTATAGTTGAGACACCATGATGAGGGAGAGGATGTGTTGACTGGGACGAAAAGGGTGCAGACGAGTGAAAAGAGATACGAAGGGCCGTCCTGCGGGAGAGAAGTTGGAAAGGGACGAAAGGGAGGTGAGAGTAGGGAGGGAGGACTTGTCGTTATTTAAGCAACCCCAGACAGATTGCTCATATACATTTCTGAAACGCATCATTCAGCGTGCGTCGTTGAAGTGCGCCGCGTAGCTCAGCTCGGAACCCCGCAAACACGTAAATATGGGGGATCCGAATGCCAAGAGGAGTGGATGTATTTGCCAAGGAAGTTCAGGGGCAACGACTTAAATTTTAGAGCATCACAGCGATGTCCTAGAATCGTACTACTGATTTCAACCTTCAACTAACGTCACGTGGAAGAATAGCAGACACAGTACGGTGGCGGTACTCGTTGGAAAGCAAAATACATGACAGCTCCGTAAAGGCCGTCACCATGAAGCGACAGGTCGGCCGATGTTAGGGATGATCACCGCTAAGATCTTGCGATAATCTGAGAACTGCACAGACGAATCCTCGAAATGAAAGCCTCACCAACAACCATTCACTGCCCACTTTACGCTCCACGCGTTCAATCTGGGATGGAAAATCAAGTAGCCCACTCAGCTGGTCACGATTCGGACCATATTTTGGCGAGTAGTCGAGGGAAGTGATGCATGTGCGCTATCACGCCATACCGAGGATCACCCATAGCAAGTTCAACGGTAAGCGCATGGTGCATAGGCAGATCCGCCAGTTTGGTGTCTAGTTCGGCGTAGAGACTGGGGTTCGTGGAATGGATTGTGATACTGCGATTGCGGTTTAACTGCGTGATCGTGGAGAGGGCAGTGTCGAGCATCATTTCGCCCGCCTCCACGTTCATGGCGAACATGCGCAGGAGGACAAGCTGAGGGAGTAACCCGAGATCGATGATCCTCCCACCGCACTGTGTAGACGCATGAACGAACAAATCTCTGTCTTTGTGGAACTTTCCTACCGTCGCGTAGAAGTCGAGGGCTGTGATCATTCCGAGGGAAGGAGCAAACGGTTGCGCCCGGAGGACCTGCATGTTGGCATTGAGGCGCAAGAATTTGAGCTCTGACAGGTCGAAGGCAGAGAGATCGGGTGCGAGCCAGTCGTCCGAGACAAACAAGTAGCCGATCTCCAGAGACTCCAGGCAGATACGCGAAATGGAGAGGACATGTGGGATGGGTGTTGGTGCACTGTGAGTATCCTGGACGCAGAAGATCTCGAAATGTCTGACGTGACTACAACGCTCCTAAATCTGCAGTAAGATTGACGGTTGCGCGAATTCACACTATAGCTTCACGCATCGGATCGTGGGGCCGAAAAGCTACCGCACTGCAATCGCACACTCGAGCGTAACCTGGGAGTATCTGCGAATCGAAACATCCCGGAGATGTGTGAATGGGACACTGCAGGGCTGTGCGAAGACTTCCACTAAGTGGAAGCGGGTCTTGATGGACGCGGAGCCGGCGGATAAGCCTGGGTAAACCGGATGAAATGTGGGGACGTCTGCAGTATCTCCTGCAGCTTTGGCCAGCGATCATTCGTCGGTGAAATGTCTGCGATGCGGATCTCTTGGAAAATGTGAGACTGGGCTGCATTTACCCAACTCCGCGAAACCAAGGCACAGTTCCTGATATCGGGGGGTCGAACAACGGGGGAACCCAATGCAGTGGTCCAAGAGCTCCTGGATTACCAGTGGGTTGGACCCGTGGTTCCATGTCGAGGGAGGGAGCAAGACGCGCGCACGCGGAATGATCCGATGCACTGCCACTAGGCTTATCAATCTCTCTCTCTCCGTCAACTCATTGAAGCTCGCGTCCCAGCGTATGCGCCTGCCTGCTTGATATTTCGCCTGCATGGAGCTCCGCCAAATTGACGTGCTAAATCTTGGGTTTCCCTCAAAGTTTCCATGACTTCGTCAATGCTCAGCCTTCGTCCCTAGGCGTGCCACCTAGGGCTCCGACCCGTCCCCGTCAGCGACGGCGACGGGTCCCGTCTGACGGCGACGGGACCCGTCCGACAAGCGATAAGATACTGTTTCGTGACGGACGGGTACGGGACGGGTAGACCCGTCAACGGGAACACCCGGCCCCGGCCGTCGACGGGTTGACGGGTGTCAGTATGTAATTTCAAATTTCGACAAACGTGTGCTTGTTGTTGGCGGACAGGTGCCTTGTATGCTGGCAGGCCCAACGCCATTTTCCAGACACTGTAGCAAGGAAGGTGTCAGATTTTCGGCGACCGATGGTCGAATGCGATGCATGCCGCTGCCCGCATACTATTCATTTATCGGCACTCAAGGTATTTGTTCAGTCAAAATATCCTCTTACTTCGGTTTTTAACTTTGAATTGCTAGTTGCTTGAGGCCATTGGTGCTGTCACCACGGAAGAGAAGAGGACGGCAAAATCCAAGTCTGCGGCCTCGGCCTATCAGGACGCGGGTACGGATTCTCTCGACCGGGAAGCCGACGAGGAGGCGGCACACACGGAGAATTCTACTGACAGAGATTATCTCACCCCCGAAAGTCTCATTGGTGGTGCTGTTTTCAAGGTACCTGATTCACAAAAAAACATCGAAAACAAGGCACTGCCACCTCGAATCCCAATCAGCCCCTGGGCCCGGAGTTGTTTGCACGGCTCTCAAATTCGACCGGCCTCCGGTAAATCTCATCTAGAACGGGCATCTCTCTCTCTTTCTCGAAGCTTGCAGCAGTCTCAGACACCCCTATTCCTGACTCCCTGGTCTCAGTTATCCGCACACTCCAGACTGCTCTCGACTGGGTGCGGATGTCCTGGACTCAAAGGCCCATGAAAAAAGCCCCCTCGTCTGGAGTGTATAAAGGGCTCCTTTCCATGGGCTGTTCCCCATATCTCTCCAACAAACTCAAAAATGCTTACCACCACTCTTACATTCTTGCTTGCTTCCTCGCTCGTCCTCGGGGGTCCCACCATTGGGAGACACAAGTGAGTTTCTACTTCGTTTCATTTCTCTCCTAGTTCTAACCGATTTTTCAGAGGATGTGCAACCCACATTGACAACGAAGACATCGTCGTCGCCGAGAGGCACTTTGACGCTCACCGGAACCAGACGGCGAAGATTTCGAACGCGGCGGTCAAGGTATTTATTCACACTCTTCGTGCAACGCCTTGGCTAACAGCGCGTTCCAGGTATATTGGCACGTCATAAGCAAAGATTCTACCGCGGCGGGGGGAAACATTCCGTGAGTCACCTTCCACTCCAACGCTCCTCTCCGGCTCACTTTCCCTCCAGAGACTCCCATATTGCGAATCAAATCAGCGTCATGAACAAAGACTACGCTGGCAACATCGCATGGACCCTCGCTGGCACCACCCGCACTGTCAACGCGGATTGGTTCAACAACGCCGGGCCCTCAACGTCCCAGCAGACTGCCATGAAAGCTTCTCGGCAGGGCGGCAAGGGCGATCTCAACGTGTACTCTGTTGGGTATGGGAAACGCTTGGCATTGATTAGCACCACCTAACTTTCTGCAGATTCACTTCGGGCTCCGGCGCCGGTCTCCTCGGCTACTCGACGTTCCCGTCTTCGTACAGCAAAGCTCCGAAAGATGACGAAATTGTAAGCTATTCAGTTGCTATCATTGCTCAATTCTGACCGCGCTTTTTCAGGTCATCCTCTTCTCCAGTGTCCCCGGCGGCTCCTCGACCGGCTACAATCTCGGACGCGTGAGTCGATTTTCTCGCACTTAATTCACAGGCATCCTAACTTTATATCGCAGACTCTCACCCACGAATCTGGTCACTGGCTCGGACTCTACCACACTTTCCAGGGTGGCTGCGCCGGGTCTGGTTC